TTGCTGATATCATTATTTAAATGGCCTAGACGATTGGGTATGATCCACTCAAGAACATTTTAGATATGAACGCCTAATTATCACAAGAGTATGTTGATTAATAATTTGATAATTAATTAAAGAAGTTTCGAATAGAAAGTATGCTAGCACTTGATCTCACTCAGCATAACTTCAACTTATAGACGCTGTCAAATTATTCAGAGATAGCAAAAAATATCTAATTCGACAGAATTATTAAAGCTAATGATTAAATAATTACTGCTGAAATAATTAATGGTTAAGAATGTAGATTGCTTGACATAGATTTGAATTTAATTAAAAAAATAGATTTAAAAGCAGCCAGATTGTATTAAATAAATAATGTGATTCTTTCTTACTTCAATATGAATATAAGCATTATCTAGGGACTGGAAGAGAATGAAATTAAAATATAAAAAGATGTTTACAAGACAAATGATTTTGTTCATTAAATGGTTTAGATCACTGATGACATATTCATGACAGTGTAATCAAATGGATCAATCTAATTGTTCAGTCTAAGCAAACCATCATTCTCACAAACATTCAGAATCAATTCATTTACTTGTATATTTGATATTTGCTTGATTGCTCAGAAATAAAATGAAAATACTTATGCTGCTGGTGATGAAGCTAATGGAATAGCAATAATTAAAATAATTAAGAAGGGAGACTTTGCTTTTGAGTTAATTGAAGACCCACAAAGATTAATTGATAAGGGGTTTTGCTATTCAATCTTGTTAATAAAATAAAATACTCTTGCTTTTACTTGTAAGATTGATGGCAAGTATTACTTAAAGATTTATAACATTGAGTTAAAGAAAGAGATTCAGAGTATAGAATTAAAATCTTGGTCATTTATTTATGCAATTGATAAGTATGACTACGAGTTGAATCCATTTGCTTTTATCAAAGAATACAATTAAGTCTCAGTAATTAATTTCATAAATTATTAAATGGTCAAAGTTGTTGATTCAGAGTTTATTCATTTTGGAAATAAAAGTCAATGCTTGGCCATCATGAAACTGAAGGATGAAACTGGAAACAAATACTAACTCTATGATGTGCAGGTTGATGAGAAGGATAGTTAATATGTATCAAAGCTAAGAGATATTATCATCCAAATGCCCTGAAGAAATAATATTTTTATCAATTCTAAAAATTCAATTTATATTAAATAATAATATATCACTTTATATTATTCATAAATTTTATTTACAAACTGGCTATATTTCTTAATGGGGTTTTGGGGTTTTGGGGTTTTGGGG